ACTTGAACTGACAGTGTACGTGTGAACATAAGCATAATGAAAAAGGTAGGATTCAACTGTCTTAAAATATGGGATGTGTGTGTGAGATGCTCTTGTTTAATCTGCAGTCAGGTGTGCATTACTGTAACTGGCATGTGTTGAGGATTCATTCTGCGTAGCAGAAGTACAGCATCATGAGAAGCAAGCAACGTTCTGGCTGCCTTTGTCATAAAAATCTTGATTAGAACTAAAAAGGAAACAAAACTCATGTGATGGACGCTTCAGCAGTTTATAAATCCCCTTTCTTTATTCACACAGGAACGCTTTGCACAGATCCCCTCTCCTCACTGCCCTGCCATCTCGCTGGGTAGCTGGCTAACAGCATATGCAGAAGCAACCTCCTCCTTCAGCTTCCCTGGGAAGAATCCTAATATGCTGCTTTACTGTGGGAAAGCACTTTGGCCTCCTTGCTACAGTAGCCCACTTGCCCCATGAACTCAGCTTTCACGGCTCCCGCTCCATTTTCAGGCAGAAAATAGGATGCAGCACATCTGATGCCCCTTGACACGTCCACCCCGTTCCTTGCATGGAGAGGAAAAGCCTGTGTGTAAGATGCTGCCCCTGGGAGCCGCTACAATCGACAGAGTTGTGAGGTGGCCTGGGCCCAACGAGCGGCCTTCCAGCTCCCCAACAGAAGCGACCCAGCCAGGGACTGCCCAGCCCGTTTGCCTTCTGTGGGGCATGAAGATTAGTGGGATTGTAAAGGGCAACTTCCAGTATCTGTGAAATCAAACGTGTTCCTCCGGAGAAAAATTTCATGGTACTTCCTTTGCAGGGAGGGGCAAGGAACGAGAGGTGGAAAGAATCTGACCTGATAGCGCAGTGCCCACTGAGAAAGCAAAGAATAATCAGCACAGTTCTGAGTGGAATTTAGTGATTCCTGTTGTTCCTATGGTAGCTAGGCACCTAAATGCCTTTGCAGATTCAGTCCATGATCTAGAACTAAAGTAAAGTTTCCATCTAGGTAATAAAACTAGATACTGGTTCAGTGACTGAACTGGGGAAAAAGTTTTCTTGAGAAGGAAAAAAAAAAACCATGGGTCTCACTCAACCTCAAACACTTGAATGTTTTTGGCAAAACCAACAAAAAATTAACAACAGAAGAACACACACTCCAAAATATATTTTGGGGAAGCCAAAGCTTTATCCAAAGCATGACTGAAAAAGCAACATTCTCTAAACAAAAGTAACTCTGCAAAGTAAACATTAAAATGTTTTCAAATGTCAAACCCCAAACAACTTATTTGGGTTTTTTTACTCAAGTGAAAAGGAAAATCTATTTATTTTGGTTGAAGCTGTTCTGTGATTTAAGCCAAATTCACAACAAAACTTCCTTAATGCTATAGTTCCAGCCTGCTGATTTATATTTTAGGGGGTCCAAGATACAGGAAAATGAAATGGTAAGAATGAATGTTATGTCACATCAAGGCACCTGAATAGCAACAAACCAAAGAATTAAGAAAATAAAACCCCTCCAAGAATAAATCAGTTGTCCTTTGGCAAAGGTAACTTAAGAAAATGGCCGTTGAAGGTTTTGGGGCTCCTATGTTCACTCAGCTGTTCATGGGCAAGATTAAACACTTTGGCAGTGAAATACAAATGTGAGGCATGTCATGTGAGGTTTTTCTCTTGGCTATTTCTGGCAAAGCAGGGCCCTTTAGGTCAAGAGATGAATAAAGCCACCCTATCAGTCAATATGGGGGGGGCGGAATGTTTATGAGAAGGTATGTTAAAAGAAATCCTGGTAGTAGCTGGATACCATAGTGAAAGCTGACCTGTAACTACTGGCTTAACACAGTATGAATTAGTAACTTACAGTGAAAGGGTTTTTTTTTCCTGGATTCCCACAGAGTTTACATTTTTGCAAGCAAGCAAAGCCAAATGAAAATATGAAAGCCTTACAGACCCCTGGGCTTGTCAGCCACTATGTAAGGCAAAGTTCAGCGCTCTGCTCTCCATCGCTGAGATTCTTGGCAGGCGTGACAAAGCTTTCCTCCTACCGCTGCTGGAGCCTTGCCACGGCTGTTTTGACTGTCTCCTTATTTTAGTCTCTGAGAAGCTGACAGAGGACATCTGACATTATACCTGTATCTTTTTTTGTGGAGGGGAAAAAAATAAAATTGGCTCTTGAAACCGCTGTGTTTGTTCCTTGAGAAATTCTTAAAGTATTGAAATTTGATTGGAAGTTCCAAACACTTCAAACAGATGCTTCTATTAAACAGGAATTGGTGGCAAACCAGAGCACTAGTAAAAGTAATGATTTTACAATATCTTGCACTTATTTTAAATTCTTTTAGCAAGGGTGCTCGTGAAATTCCTAGGTGGTGACAGCCTTTTCTTTTGTTTGGGTTTTTTTTCCCCTCCATGTAAGAAAAGTGCCTTACCAACACACGTTGTTTTTCTGCATGGAGATATGACTTGCTTTTACCTGCTTTAGCTTTATTCTTCTATGTAAAACATCATGCTACTCAAACTGTACGTGCAGGTGGTTCTGTATGCCTGGAAAAGGAAACACCCTTTGAAAGCAGGCTCTGAAATCACTTCACCTAGATAACACTGTTAATGAAAACAGAGAAATCTGTACAGGACCTTCCATCATTTAAAAGATAAAACAATATTGCCTTTACCACTCATCTTTCATTTCAGATTCTGAAAATGTTTATTATTAGAATGAGAAGGATATAAACATAAAGGTTGGATGCCACAAATCTGATAAGGCTATTGATTTGAGGCCCAAACCTTTATTTTTCAGGTAAACTTTCATTTTAAACTATTGCAGCAAGCACTTTACACAGATTCCCTGCAGGGACTATTGCCTTTAGGAATGAGAAGGAACTAAAAGCATTGCTTGTCTTACTAGTAAAGTATTACCAGAGTGACAATTACAGCTATCACAGAATGAGAGTCCATTTTTCCGACTGCAGACTTTGATTCTTTACTGACATGAGTAGAAGTTCTACTCGCAGGGTCAGGAAATGTGTGTTGTCTACTATAAGACAGGTTTATTACTACTAACATGTATTTTGAATAGCGTTAAATCACAAACCTAAATTCTGATTATAAAGTCACAAAACAGCTGTTGCAGAACACAGTACTGTATCTCCTTAAGTAGGTAACAATTTGTTGCTTTGAGGTAAAATAGTAATAATCCAGTTAGGATTTTTAAATTTTTTGCAAGTTCAAGTTTCTCTTTTAAGTTAGGCTTCACATGCAAGGAATCATAGGGAGCAATCACTAGAATGATTTAAGCTTTATGAACCTAATGGCACTCCAACTCAAATAATTATTTCTCTCATCCCCTGTAAGAGTGCTCATTATTGGTTCTGTTTCCCGAGTTAAACAGAAGCCAGGAAAATTACACAGTTTAAGCTGAGAGTCTACACGTGAAAAATATGCATAGAAGAAGTTTTTCAAAACAGCCTAGGTTCTGTTGACTGGCTGAGATGTAGCAGTGGACACAAGAAAAAAAATTATCTGCAATAACCAACACTCTAAAGAAGCTCTCATGTTTTGAGAACAGATTGTTGTTCATCACCCATCGCAGAAAAGCAACAAAAAATTGTCAGAGTCTGGAAAACTTCTGCTTAACAACTACCAACAAGGTGGAAATTTCAGCTGTCGTGCTCTCTAACAGAGTGAATACAAAGGTTCTCTATAAACTAGCAGTGAACCAACTTTAAAGGTTACTTTAACATCCAGACCTGCTGATCATCTTTAGCTTGATATCCTAGCTTGAGCTTGTTCCTCCCCTGAGCTTCCACTTAAGTGGTAGCACTTTAAAAGGATTCATTAAGAAATGGCTCAGAGCTCCTGTCCACACCTTCACCATCTTCCCCTCCGTCCTCCCTGCGGCACTGCATCTGTAAACACAGTGTGACACAGGGCTCAGTTCTTATGCCACGGTCCTGTCACGGTGCATCTGTTACTGGAAATTTTTAAGCTGCTTTTGATGGAAAATCAGTAGCCTTCATTATATTTTGTTAGGCTTCAAATACTAATTTATTGACAAAATAGTGGAAATACATCCTTAAAGAGAGGTGCAGGGTACAGTAAAACATTTTCTATGCATATTAAGAAGATGTGGATATGAGGTCAGTGATGCATAAAACACCATCTGTAGTGTACCAAGTCTATGCTTAATTCAATGTAATGAACTTCACCTCAGCCATGAAATATGTCTTCCACGCAGCCACTGATAGGGAAGAAAGGTTGTGCTGGAGAGCAGATTCATCTGCTTGTTCAGAGGCTGTGAATAGCAAGGATGCATTAGCCATTGAAGAGCCTGCTCCACTGCCTATTCAACACCAACTGTGACTTTTAATACAAGGGTCCGCCAACTCCGTTACGTCTGCGTGAACCAGAAAATTCATGTGGTATCCCTTACCTCAGGATCACTTATTAGAATATTTGCTATTATTTCTGTACTTAGAAAGAAAAGTCACGTTTCTCAGCACAGATATAGCAAATGTAGTCATGCTGATACTTGACGTTGGGGAGTTTCATTTCCTTGAAGCTCTTCTCTTTCCTCTGTCCTTGGAAAAACAGAAATGCAATTAGGAAGTCAAATCGCTGTCTATTGGTTATCTATGGAAAGTTGGCACATTCCTCACATGATCTTTATTTTTGCCTTGAAAAGAGCTAATGTGCTCTTTTGCCTTGCATATGGTCTGGAATGAACCTCTAGCTCCTGTTTACACTCCCTCAGAGAAGTTACTTTTTTTTTCCCCTAACGCAGGCTAGAAATAAAAAAAAAAAAAAAAGACAAGCTTAAAATTGAAGATAAATATTTTACGAGTTACAAATATATGTCTAATATTATTTTCAAGTCATTTCAAATGCTAGGATAAGAAGGGATTTTCAAATGACATTTTAATTAGAAAGTGGTTTTGTAGAATTGGTATTATGGGCCAAAAGTTATTTGTCACGTCATAGAGACACTTGCCAGAAATGCAGGGATGACAGGCAGCAGCTGCAAAATGGCTGCGTCTTGCTAAGAGGCACTGAGCTGGAAGACGTTGCAAAGATATTCAGATACTTTCGGAAGTCCTTGATGAAAACTTAACTAGAACAGGATGAAATCCAGTAAGGTATGTAAAAGCATATAGTCTGTCTGCCTATAAAGCTGTAAGATTGCATTTTCTTACATGTCCTCTGCTAAAGTTAGTCAGTCAGGTGCAGTTTCTGCCTTTTGGTGAATGAAAGTTATTTTTCACTCTATTTACTACAGCATCAGACATGCAATTTTTTGTAAGTCCTTAAAATACTTGGGCCTCTACCAACAGGGAAAGTGGGTTTCTCAGCTGAGTTTTGGTGGTTCTTTCTGCGGGAGAGCTACATGTTCAAGGGAAAACAGGTTACGATATATCAGCTTTTGCTATTTAGTACCAAAACCATAGTACGTGTACCATGCGCATCCTCATGTAAGCACACATGTACTATCAAACTCTAAATGTGCAAAAAAATTGAGATTTTGGAGGGGGAAGTTTCTTCAAAAAGGAAACTGTAAATAGTCTATTTTAATAGATCAAAACCTGAGTTTAGTGCATTCTGATTCTAGCAATAAGCATGCTCTCTGATTTGCCCCTGGGAGCAATCACATTCATTGTGCTCATGACATGTAAAAATATACAAGAAATAATACTTCTGAGGTTTCACATCCTTTCACGACGTAATCAGAAGACCCAGGAGTAGATGTCTGAGCAATGATAGGAGTACTGTGGAGTTACTTGTTTCCCATGGAAATCATTTGTGACTTCCCGCTCTTTACTGCCACACATCTTCAAAGCACAAAAACAGCTTGTGTTTTGAGCAGAACAATTATTTGCTTTACATCAAAGTTTTATGTAGTTCTTAAACTAGGTTTCAAAGGAGTAAAATTAATGCAGGTCTGTATAACACATGGGTGGTGATGTGTTTTCCGCTCCTAGTACGCTTTCTATTGATAGATTTCAGTATACTTTACAAACGTTAATAGTTCAGCTGCTTGCCAGAAAGAAAATATGGTTTGCTGTTTCAGAATAAGGACCACTGCTAGTTATTGCTAATCCCTTCTACTTTTGCAAAGAATTATAAAAGCAGTCATCTCCACGCCTTACCTGCTGTGTGATTATAGTCTGATATATCTCCAAGTATTTCAGTTTTAAGTATTTGGGTGGTTTAGTCCTATATAGTATAATTCTGCCTCGCAGGATCATACTCTTGTTGCTGCTTGCATTGCTCCTATGGGTAAGAGCTTTTAAAAAACCCCAGGCCTGTTGTCTTATGCTTAATGGATTAAACTGCTGTCTGCACAGGTTGTTTAACATCACGCTTACGATGCAACTAAAATACTTGGAAAAAATGAATTAAAAACAGAAATGGGGTTACTCATATTATAAAAATCTACGTTCTGCATATTGTCCTGTAAGAGTCTACCAATATAGACAACTGTTGAACATAGACAACATTCCATGATAATCCCGATTTTTTGCTCCAACTATTAGTCGATTTATTTCATCCTCAAAATAAGAGTTCAGTGTTAACTAGTAATATTACTGTCCACATTTTTTACTACCTTCATGCTGATTGAATCATAGAATAGCTCAAAGCCTTGTCTGTGATCACTTGCTGTAACTGTGTACAGCGTTTGCCACCGTGGTGATGTGACTGTCCTGTACTGTGGGACTCCTAATTCTGTCAGTGAGAAGTGCTAGTTCTGCAGATTATGTGCAGAAAGCCAGTTGTGAACGTTTTGCTATTGAAATTCACGTTCAGTCCAAAACTTGTGTGAACTGAATGTTGTTTCTGTTTCTTGAAAAGGTTAAAATGGCTTCAATTTTGTAATGCATTCACACTAAACAATCCGTTCGAGCCATTATGTTTGTAGGTCTTTCAAGAAGCTGTATGCCTCCATCGGGGAAGAGATGAGTGTCGTTGTTTTTCAGTATTATATTTACCTCCATTGTAACCCTTTATTAAAACGCTCTTTAGACTTGATTTTTTTTAAATGGGGTTAGGTCCTGGTTAGGTTCAAGAACAAAACTAAGACAAAAATTGTTTTCTTTCATACTCCAGTTCCTTGTGGTCAGGAGCTGAGGTAGCAAATGTATTCTGCTTTCCAGGCCGCTGTTACACTGGTAACAGTAACAGCGGAGATGTACGCTATTGCAGGTAAATAACTTTTGTATAACGTCCTGACTGTGTGACTTAGATGGGCAAAGGCTCCTCTCAGAACAGGGAAACCTCACCCCTCAGCCCTGAACCTCCATCTCAGGCAGAATCCCAGTCGGGGGTAACAACTAAATCTCTCTTCTTAGTGTCTAATTGCTTGTTACACAGTGCTGTTAACATTTCTATTTCATATTTTTACTGTAAATCTCCATGTTTTCTTTTTCTACTTACAGACCCTCAGTTCTTCAGTAAGATGTGTTTCTTTCCAGGCCAGCCCAAGAGAGGAGTCTTAGAGAAATAAAAATGAAGTGGCTAAGGAGTCCCATTTAGACATCGTGCTTTCTTCTCGTCTCTTCAGTCGCCCTTAGACAGCTCTGCCCGCCTTCAGACTGACTTACGTGTTCAGACTGCCAGACTTGCTGGAGTCAAATCCAAGGGGAATAACATGAACTCCATTAACCCCGACGCATAGTCTGATTCTCCCACGTGCCAAAATCCTTAGAGGCTCTATCTGTCTGAGGGCCAACTTGCATACCGAGGGTCAGAAAAACTTGAAAATTAAAATTGTTTCAGGCAACCAGGGCCTAATGGAAGTCATCGCTCCCTCGATCTCCTTCAGCAGTGGACAGGGTGAATTTGCATAGTTTGCTTTTTTTTTTTTCCTTTTCCTTTTCTCCTCCACAATGTATTTTCTGTCAGGATGGCTAAGTGGTGTGGCCGAGGGCAGGAGAGCTGCTTCCATGCCCAGCCTTATGAAATATATTTCGTCTCGTGAAGGAAGTCAGCTCTCAGGAACTAGAGGAAGGAAATACTTTTCCTGTTTCATATTAGCCCCAAAGACACTAAAGCTACTTTTGTGATTAATCTAACCAAGTAGCAGTTTGTCAGTATGAAAGGAGATGTGTATGTTGCTAATCTCTGAATGTCTTTCCTCTTTGGAGTTCAAAAATGGTATAAAATCCTTGGTATAGGCATAGTTTTTAACAGGAAAAACGCTATATTTTTCCTTCAGTCATATAGCCGGCCATAGGTCACAAATGGAAAATAAAAGCACTCAGTGAGAGGCACTCTTCACGCTTTCTCCATCTCAGATATTTTATAGTTCTTTTCTAAAAATAGATTTTGTCTAGAACAAAAGTTGCACTTTGAGATAGTCTAAAAGATGCTTCAGCGAAATGAGGCCACACAGCGCAAGGTATGCTTTGTGGGAAGTACTTGATTAAGGATTGTTGTTGTTTCTTGTTTTGGTCCTTTCTGTGGCCCTGGAGGTCTTTGTGGGAATACGTTCCAGTAAAACTACAAAAACAGTTCTCTTACTTTGTCTACTGGGTGGTTCATTCTTTGGCAGAATACTTAAACAAGTGGTGTATGAAAACTTAAAGGAAAAGCTGAAAAACATGTTAAAAACTGGACACGAGAGCGCTAAAATGAAGACAGTGCATTACTCAATAGTTGTTTTGTTTTTTGTGGTTAGTCAAACTGTCCTTTCTCTGCACAACTGTGGGGATTGCTAAGCATGAAAGATCCCCTTTTGTAAACGATCCAAGCCTCAGCATATTTGCTGTGTCAGCTTTCTCATCGGTTTAGGTACTGGTAGCAGGAAAGAAGTGCCATGACTTGTGACTGGTTCAATGACCAGATGTTTCTGAAGTAACAGTTAAGGAATAAAAATGACCCTTGAATCGTTATTTTGATCTGGAGAATATATTCTTGGGATTAAGGCAAAATTTGGTGTGGTTTTCAGCTTTGATTAACTAAAAGAAAAATTATTTCACATGGGAAAATATAAATTTAAAAACCACGTGTGAGAAATTAAAAACTACAAAATATTAAAGTAGACTCTAAACTGCTTTGGTGTACTGTCCACAGTAATATTATTGTTGCCCTGTGAGGTCAGCATTCTCGGTAGCATAAATAGTTGTGGGTCACGCTTTTAGCTTTAATCTTTGGGATCTAGCAGGCCTCAAAGCTGCCTAATTTCACATGATAATTTGATTCTGGCACTATTTTTATATTTTCTAAGCTTGTGATCATAAACTGGGATTGCTTTAGTTTCTCCAGAAGTGAAAGTGAAAAATGTATACATTGAAACATCACCAGTGTACTTGGAGGCATTACTGCTTTTTTGACTATAGGTACCTCCAACTGGATATGCAGTAAGAGGCCTTTGCCACCCAGTACAAGAGACCTCTTTCATTACACGTATCCCTAATACTTTACATAAATACGGAATAATTTTTTCCCCCATCTTTCTTAACAGCCTGTAGGTTTAAAAGCTTTTCAACAGTATGGTACACGAAACAAGTTTCTCAGCGCGATCCTTAACTTTTCTAGCAGAGAAGCCTCAACTTGTTCAGTAGTGCTGATGGTTTCCCAAATGATCCCAAGAAACAAGCCTTTAGTAAGTCCCTGCACAAACTTTTCAGAGAGGGCTTTTTTTGTTTTTTTGAATCATTCATAACTGCTCATGTTTCACAAATTCCTTGATTGCGGAAATATTGTCTAGTGACATCTTGCGCTAGCTTCCCTAGGGATGCAGAAAGTTAATACCAAATTACACGTGATTTCAGTGCCATGAAACAGGAGTCCTCGTCCTTTTGGTGGCAACCTCACTTTTGGGTTTGTGGACGCATGGTATCATTTCTGGGTACGAGCCCTCCCTTAGAATTAAATGGTTTGGGTTTCCCACTGCATTTACAGGTCTTCGCTCCTTGTTTAGGAACTACTGCAGTAGATAACTGCTCGTGCTGAGTGAGTGTGTTAAATAATATGTGTGTTATTTGGAGGCAGTGCAGCCCAGTGACATGAAGTAATCTGTGTCTTTCAAGACTCTGAGAACTGGCTCTACATGTTACCACACCAGGATTCATTCCATATGCATAGAGATAGAGAGGTATATTTATAATGGAAAATGTGAAAAAGCATCTGTAGATATGCACTGTTATTTCAAAGCTGTAAATTCTTTGAAGCCACGCAACCTTAGGAAATACAAAGATACAAAGTACAAATATAATTACATGCCTGATTACTTTGAATTGTTATTACACACTACAAGCATGAACCGAGAAAGATCATATGTATGTTTGTCCAGTTGAGACTTTTGCTTAGCAAAAGGGTACTATCTGCCCAACTTTTCCATCTGATTGACCTCATGGGCTTCAACAGAGTTTGTTTGTAATCTTAAACATGGATGTATGCACAAGTAGCTGAATTGCTGTCCAAGTAAGCTTTTTTTTTTTGGCAGATCTAGGAACTCATGTCTCTGGGAAGATAAAGAATATCATTAAACTTAATAGACTGGTAGCACATGCTTAATCTTTTGGAACATTTTCAACATATGCGGTGTTGGAAAACCAGAAGCTCATTAAGAACATGTGGTGCCTACCTCCTTGACATGAAATTTCTGCCTCCTCTCCTCCCTCCATTTCCCACTCTCTGAAGGGCTCTAGAAGTCTGATTTTTGCGAACCTGTATGTAAGTCATTTCTAATACATCTGAATTGTCCCAATAAATTAAACTAGTCTAACTTTATGTGCTCTAACTCATGTGGAAGGACTAGGTCTTTTAGTTTGTAACTTTAATGATACTAAAGTTCTGAACAAAGACCGAGAAAGATTTAGATCTTATTTGGATTGGTAAAAATCAACATGCTAGAACTGCATCTAGTACTGTAGGAACAACTTTAAATGTCTGGCAAAGTGAATAGTTTCTCTGACTAGATTTAGTTAATTCAGTGTCCCTCGGTCTACTGCTGTGCGTTCCCTGCACGTACAGCTTTATATGTCTACAGTCAAGGCTTGATTTGGGGGGAATTGTTTACTTAGTGTGCTAAACTACCTTCATTGCAAGCTAGATTTGATTAGAATTGCTTTCTTTTTATCCTTTTAAATAATAGTATCTGCTCCAGAGTTTTAGAAAAGTTAAACCAAACAAATCGTAAATGTTCTGTGTATATCATCTGGTTCTGATTACCTACTTTATTTTATTTTCTAAATAGCAGTGGAACATATTCAGCAAATAAGTGTACAGTCCAGAAACATGGTATTGATTAATGAGATACATGTTTTGGACTTGCCTGCCATATAGCTCAGTGGTTTCTGGGCATATTGGTGCATTGCAGAGAGTTCCCTGATTTCTCTTGTTAGCACACAGTTGGGAGTTGATATTGCTTAAACTACAGACAAGGCAAAATACTGAAAGGAAATAGATTCTTTGCTATGTAACAGTGCCCTGTATTGTATTTATGGAGTGCTAATGTATTAATGTAAAAGGATCCTTTTACATTAATTATGATTTCCGAAGAAGAAAGTCAGAAATAAGTGGCTTGAGTATTATAGGATTATAAATTAATTATAGGCATGAAATTTAAGGTAAATAAATAGAAGGCAGTTTCTTAGTAACTTCTTTTGGCTAAGATGTTCAGACAAGTAGATGAATTAAAAAACAAATAGTCCTCAAAGTTGCGTTTCCTCTTTCAGAATCACCAATTGTTTTCAGAGTGCAACAATGTACGCTATTGAAAGTGTTTAATGGAACAAGTGGTTAGTAAAATCTGTCTAACCAGTGATATCTAACATCCCAGGAATGACACTTGATAAAGGATATGGTAAGAAACTCTCATCTTGTTCTATGGAATATACCATTGATATGTCAAATTCCTTTAAAGATGTACTCTGCATGTCTAAAATGTGTTCTTCCTTTCTTTTCATCTTCTCTGGTTGAGCACAGCCGTGGGATAGTATTATGTTAGTAATGGGCGCTGCGTTTCCTTCGAACCATTCTTGGGGCTCCTGACAGTGTCTGCATACCTTCTCTAAGCTATCGGTTAGGACTTGTCCTGTTTCTCTAAAGAGAATATGCTGTAAATACTAACATCTGCTCATATATCTATTGGATGTATCAGTAGACTTGCAGGAGGTGGAGTGATGGAGTAAGCCAGAGACACAGCTGTCAGGTTACTTCTACAATATTTCCCTCTCTTTTCCCTCGAAAGAGCAGAAGTGTAACTGAACTGTCCCCTCTGGAAACTTGAGGCTGAAGGTAGATTTACTGTCAAGAAAACTTTTCAAAGTATTTAACTCACATGTCATCTTTTATTTCTGTCCATTACACTTAGATGTACAAATGTGATGCGCCTTCCCCTCCTTGTTTCCAGATACTGTTGTAATAAAAGATTACATACATAAATAAATTAGTTAAATTCTAATAGTCTACAAATATTTGAAGATGCTATGAACTTTCTAAACTATTTTTGAGGTTACTCATTACTTCAATCAATTAATGTTTGTTTAAATGCAAACACAGCTGTTTCATATGTTTGTTTGGTTTTTACTCCCCTCATGAGGGACTCGGGAAGTGAGCAAACGAAACACATTGGGTTGACAAACCTTATTTCTTCAAAGCCCATAATCTCAAATGACAAATATTCTTGCTCTCCAAACCAGGGGGGGAAGTGGATGAGAAATTGGCTTGGGTTTTAGTTGGGTTTTTTTCTGATGTTGTTGCCTTCTGGTTTGTAACTTACCCTCGAAGCCATAAAATGAATAAAACTGAGCTTCCAGTAACTGCTTTTAGGATGGATCTTGTCTCCGTCAGTGTGACAGCAAAATGCACAGACACATATGTTCACAGGGTCCCCTCAGTGCCGTATCTGGAATACGTATTTGGCCTTACAAGCCCCGAGTATAAAAACCCAACAAATTTGGTTTTGACTCTCATCTCTGCTTACGTCAGCGACCATGCACAAACCCCCCTTTGCCCTGGGCGACCTCTGGGCTGTATTTAAGCAGCAGCCACCCCCCATAGCACAAGACAGGCTTCACCTAGTCAGAAGAAGCAAAAGAACTTGGACCAACATAATATTTGCCTGTGCCTTTCAACCCCTCTGATCTGAAATACGCACGAATTAGCCCTATTTCACTATTGCTTTACAGAAAATAGCACCAGAAATACTCACTTCTTTTGAATCTCTCTCAATAACACCTTCCTACAGGGTACTTTACAATTTCCAAATTGTTCAAGTTTTTCCAAAGATTTCTAATATTCTAGTTTTTCTTTCTTTAAATATATATTTCCATCATTTTATGCTAATTTTTCTTTATAAACATGAAACGCCTGACCTTTTTGGTAGTTTGAGCAAGTAGTAAATACAGGATTAGCAAACTTGTACAATGGGTTGGTTGATATTTCTTTCTTTGCAGTGTGATCTCATTAATGAATAGTCAAATTGGATTTGGAAAATGAACACAGGATAAAAGAAAGCTGCTTTGTACCTCTCAGATTCTACTTAAGAAATAATTCATGTTGACTGGATCTAATAAAAAGGTAGACTTTTCAATTTATCATTTTAAATTGAATGTTTACTATGGAATTCCTTATTCTTCTAATTTATTGAGAAATAACAACACCTAAAGATTCTGAGATCATTTCTGTGGAACCCTGCTGATTTCATTCTTACTAAATTCTATAGATCTAAACCTACAGCTATTATAAAACTTGAAAGAAAATGACAATTAAAGTGATTAGTTCAGTAAAATGTTAAGAAAATTAACCTAATCCCTATTGTTAAGTGGACAGATTTTTTTTTTTTTTCCTATGGAGGAAAAAAGTTACAACAAATGACTCATAAAAAGATTTTATTTTTTGAGGTCTGTCAGGCTGTTCATATTTTAAACTTTATTTAGATCAGAGCTATGTTTTCATTAGTCTAGATATGTGGTTCCTTAGTAACTCTTGAATCTTTTTTAAAAAAGATGTCTAAAACAACCCTACGGTTTAGATCCTTAATGAACGTGGCCTACTTCCATGGCTCAATTCTGTTTTCTTGTTAATGAATATTTCGCACATTAAACGGAGCACAATGGCTTGTTCCACATCTCATGACGGATATCCAGTACCAAGTAGCTGTGAATGCTTCGTGTCTACAACATCTAGTTTGACCAGCAAGTACTTGTGAATGGGAAAAGTGTGTGTGCTTTGAAAACAACAGAAGTAAGTTCCTTACTCCTGCCAGGGCTTTGCTTGTGCAAAAGCAAACTGCCCTTCAATTACAACTACCACAGACATGAAGGCCAGAGCTCAATTACATGTGGAAATTAAAACTGAAGCAAAACCCAGCAGTTCCCAGATGCTATCTGTATCTTCGTTTGAAGAGCCTTTGCTTCTCTGTAAAGCTCTTCCTTTTTTTTTTTTTTTTTAAAGATCCTTGTTTTAATTTTTATTCCTGTGATTATCAATTTGGAGGATTATAGACCTGATAGTTATTTCCTGCAGATTTACTGAAGTCTCATAAATTTCTTCTTTAAGAGTGCTCTTTAGCATCTGCTGTCCGGTTACTTTCATCTGTTTTGATCTCTGTTGTTGTTGTTGTCGTTGTTTTAATTATCTTCTTAATAGCTTGCTCCAAATTCACAGAACCTAGAGCCTTACACCAATAGAAATTTTCCTTCAAAAAAGAAAAAAAAGAGTAATTGTTGCCCACAGCCAAACCTAATCTGTCATATAGTGTTGTTTTCTATTGCGTGATTGGCTGTGTTGCACTTGTAAAGTTTTTGGGTTGTCTCTGATTGGACATCTTTGTACTAATCTGAATTACTGTAATAAAACGATTACAAAGTTTTAGTAACTTTTCAAGTCCATTTGACACAGCTGCAGGAAGCCTCCTTTCTGCTTTTCCTAATTATTCTTACTTAGAAACAATGATCTAGACCGAATTTGTTAGATTTCTTTTTGTTGAATACATTTTAAAGTCCATAGGTCAGCAGGGTCTTGATGTGGGATGCTGGTCCCTGCGCATTAGTGCATGATCACCCGGATCACTTCCCATCGCCCAATACCGCAGGCGGCCAAGTGCCTGAGTACAGGGGAAAGGCGCAGCAGCCGCCTCTCCGACTTGGCGTGATTGACTAGTAGAGAGTTACACAAAAGGAGATAATTGGTTTCTAGGTGCGTTCCATTAGAAAAATGAAACTTCCTGCAATTTCTCTGTGTGTCTCCCTCCCCTCCCCTTCCAAACAACTTTTGAACCCTTTGGTCAGTTTAGAGCCTGTTGGATGAGAGGTTACACTACAGAAAGGTAGTTGAGATGAGCAGTTGTAAGAGGAGAGAGTCACCATGAGCATAGGACCTTTTTTTTTCTTTTTCCTAAAGCTTTTAGGCCTGTTTCTCTCTCTCTTTTATTTTTTTTGTCAGTTCCCCTTTGCTGTGCCTTTTCTTGCTGACACTACTCTTGCAATCTGAGCAGGTACCAGTGAGTCTTTGCAGATTCATTCTTGCTTGAGTTAATCATATAAGCTGCTTAAAATATATTTCTCCCAATGTAGGATTTCTGTATTCTACATCATGCGGTTGTATGTAGTATGAAAAAACGCTTGAGAACTTCTGAATATTTTTTCTTGTAAATAGGCAGCTCTCTCTTTTGACATGTCCATACTTGAACTGGTAGCCATCTTTAAGTTGAGATCGCAAGCATGGTTCTATTTTATATATAGAGAGATATATATAGTATATATCTTTGCAGCATTGCTGCAGAGTCTAGCGGATTGTTTTGCCTCAACCATGTAAATGGCTTGATTTATTACTGAGCTGAGAAGGGCAGCAGGAAACCTCCACTATTTGTATATCCCAGCCCATCT